AAGTGGGATAACACATATTAAAGACCTTTTTAACAAAAATGGATTATTTAAAACTCTACAAGAATTGTCCGTTGATTTAAAAGAAAAGTCAAATTGGATGTGTGAATACAAAATATTAAAAACAGTAATCTTTAAAAAATCTTTAAGATTCAATATGACTAGCTGTGCATACATACAGAATATAGGGAAGCGTTTTTTTTAATTTTGTAAATGGTGTTTATCGTATTGAAGATAAAAAATGTAATTTTTTTTACGATAATTTACTCTTTAAGAAATTTAAAGCCCCAAGCCATCAATTAATGTATAAAAAATTATTTTCTGTTGCTCAAGAAAGTTGGAAGGATATATATAGAAATAAGGTTAAAGATATCTATGACAAAAGAATATGTGAATTTAATTATAAATTGTTGAATAAAATATTGTGTTGTAACAGTTTTCTTTTTAAATGCAAATATAGAACTTCTGCTTTATGTAATATGTGTGATGAAATTGAAGATATTAAACATTTACTTTTTGATTGTGAACATGTTCATATACTATGGAAAAATCTGAGTTCTGTGTTAAATTTTGATGTACAGTGGAAGCATGTCGTCCTAGGTTTTTATTCTGAACGGAATTCCAAAATAAAATTTTTAAATACTTTTGTGTCTTTCTTAGCATACAAGATTTATAAATTTAAAATGTTTTGCAGAGTTCAGAACAAAACTGAAACAGAAGATTTGTTATATTCCTATGTGAAAACAAATATTAAAAACAATATGGACATTTTACTGAATTTAACAAAAACTCACATGTATAAAAATAAGATGGTGACATTTGTAGAAATGCTTTAAATAAGTATATGTTACTCTGTTATTTTTGTTATACTAACTATCCCGGCCCGGGTTAGTTAGGAATTGTAAACGGGTTTGCATAATGATTAATAAAATTATTTAAAAAAAAAAAAAAAAGTTTGTTCAAATGAAAGGCCACGCCCTCATTGAAGGGGAGATAATTGGGAATAACTGAAAATTTTTGTGGCATACTTTAAAAATCTTCTTCTCAAGAACCACTGTGCCAGGAAAGATGATACTTATGGAGAAACATCCTAGTGTAGATTCAAGTTTGTTCAAATCATGACCCCCGGGGTAGGGCGGGGCCAAAATGGCCGACCAAAGTTTAACATAGAAATATATAGGAACATTCTTTAAAAACCTTCTTCTCAAGAATGACAAAGCCATAATTCATCATATTTATATGAAAGCATGCTCAGATAATGTAGTTTCAAGTTTGTTAAAATCATGACCCCTGGGGGTAAGGCGGGGCCAAAATGGCCGACCAAAGTTTTACATAGAAATATATAGGAAAATTCTTTAAAAATCATTTTCTAAAACATAGCAAATCCATGATTGGTCATGGGACTTTTTTTGGATTTAAACTTTACAATAAAAACCACTTTCTACTTTTTCCTAGCCTTAGTGCTCAGGTGAGCGATGTGGCCCATGGGCCTCTTGTTTTTAAATATACGAAGATTATAAGTAACAACTGTAAAATTTCAAGATAATTCCTGAATGTAGACCTTTCAACTAAGTTTTCAAGTTGCCCATATGGTAAAAAAACATTGCATAGATAGATTTATAGGTACATGAAATTATCAAAAAAGATAATAACTTATGCATACGTTTAATTACATCTTTAAAATGTTTAACTATTTATAATTGACTTTTCCGATGTTTTGTTTTAAGGATAGGTAACTCAGTTGTGAAAAATGACCAACTTAGTGCGGATTTAGGAGTTATCGTTGATAGGAATGACATATAGGCTGCTTCAGCATTGGTATTGTTATGTACACAAAAGGGTTCCTTACATTGTTTTGTACACAGAAACAAAACAATGAGAACGAAAAAATTCACTCTACCTGAAATAACAGGGTCAAATGAATGGGGAACAGACTATATTCAATATTTTTAACTCTCTTTGACGATTATTATGAAGAAGAAAATTTAATGTCATGTTTTATGTGTGCGCGATTTTTCCCTTCCTATATAAACATATACATTTTTACAAGTAAATGCAGCAATTGATCATCTTACTTGTGTTACTAAGCACGAAGGGGAACGACCGAGTATAAAAATTTAATTAGGTTAGAACTAAGAAGAAGGGTAGATTTCACTTTTTATTCTAATTAAAACTTTTAATTATATGTAGTGAAATGGTGCCCGCATCTACACAGTATAAATAAGTATTACATTGGTGCTAAATTTCAAAACCACTGGATCCTACTGAGAGCAAAAAATCACTTGGGAAATGCTAAAAACTGCCTTGCGTGTAAACATGTCTCAACAGAGAGTTATCGTTCATAAAACCGACCCCTAGCGGCAGTTGAAAGGCCTACTGAATGTCCAAAAACCTGTAAATAATAATCTTATATTTACATAATACAGGCAAAACTTTATGTCTTATAAAAAAACTAAATTAAATGTGTATTTAAAAAAGATTTAAGCAGTTTTTTTTATATATAAAATGCAAGACTTCTTAATATATATCTTGATTTTAGAATTCAATAAAATTATCATAAATCATTGTGTACAGTATTTTAACCAAAATAAAGTATGAACATTATTTTAACTCCATATTTCAAAGAATGTACACATCATTCAAAGTTGACCTTAACTTCAAAACAAAGTTCATTTGCAGACTGAGGCAACACAGTAATCAATATCAATGTGAAAGATAAAGATAAGGCTTAGGATTTTCTTCATATGGAAGGTTAATTAATCCCAAAGGACAAATTGCACAGCCTTCCCAGTTTACAATGGTAACATTCTCAGCACTTATCTCTCTTTGCCCATTCATTCTTATGCATAGTTAAATCTACCCCACCACCCCAGCTCCAAACCAGAAGACGTAGAGAACCAAAATTAGCATCAACATATGTCTTTCTGCCAACTGAACTACCATACCAAATTTGAACTTGATTGGGTAACCATAAAAAAAGTTATTAGAAAAAAAAAACAGAAAATGTGTGGACGGAAGAATGACAGACGGACAGACAGAGTGATTACTATAGGGCACCCGCAAATCCTTGCAGGGCCCTAATTGTGAAGTTTTATGTGTTCAATAATTACTTTTTGCTTATAAAAGCTTTCTAAATAAAATTGCAATTATTACCTGAAATTATCACAAAAATTTTGAATATTTGGTGAATAAAACGCATACTTTGAAGCCTAAATGCCTTAATTTATTTTCATTAGATGCTGAAAAAGAAATAGGGGGTGGGGATATAAAAAATATCAAAACTTTCTTATATGTACACTAACCCCTACTTTTTATACTATGAAAAGGAACCAAAATACTTAAAGAAACTGTGCAACAATATTCTCAAAAAGTTTAAATGTAGAAATATGTTTTTCTCTGGTTTTTGAGCAATTTTATGGTGAAAAAATTTGCCTAATTTTGACACCGGTATACAACATTTTTGGGTACAAGTTAACTAATTGGTGTTTATTTGCTCATATTTTGTTTAAAAAATTAACTTTGCTATACTTTCAAGTAAATTTAAGCCAATTTAGGTTTAAATTGATTGTATTTATAAGTTTATGAGGTATTTTTATGGTCTATTAGCTATTTTAATGAAATTTCCCATGCTCTATTTTGGCCTATGTTGGAGGGGTTGAATCTCTCTTAGATGAACACTAACATACACTTTTCTTCTCTTTAAATTATTACTTGGATATTACACTTTCAGAAAAATATAAGCTTGTGGAAAGTTTAATGCACGTTTTTTTGTCGTGTATCAGACGAATACATCCTTAGATTATATAAGAGCATTATTCGCACAATGTCTCTTTAAAGGCAAAATAAACAGAACTTTAATCATATCTCTTATTAATATCTGCCTATACATGTGCAATCTCTAATAATCTCAGGATGAACAAAATATACATTTTAAGTAAACCTTTTTCGATGAACAAAAGTCGTTTTTATTAGCTCACCTGAGCCGAGGGCTCAAGTGAGCTTTGCTTATCACATTTTGTCCGTCGTCCGTCCGTCTTTTCGTCCGTCTGTCCGTCTGTCTGTCTGTCCGTCTGTAAACTTTTCACATTTTCGACTTCTTCTCAAGAACCACTGGGCCAATTTTGACCAAACTTAGTACAAAGCATCCTTGGGTAAAGGGGAATTTAAATTGTTAAAATGAAGGGACATATCCCCTCGCAAGGGGAGATAATTAAGAAAAGACAAAAATAGGGTTGGGTCATTAAAAAATCTTCTTCTCAAGAACCACTGGGCCAGTAAAGCTGAAACTTATGTGGAAGTATCCTGGGGTAGTGTAGATTCTAAATTGTTCAAATCATGACCCCCGGGAGAAGGGCGGGGCCGCAATGGGGTATCAAAGTTTTACATAGAAATATATAGGAAAAATCTTTGAAAATCTTCTTCTCAAGAACCACTGGGCCAGAAAAGCTGAAACTTATGTGGAAGCATCCTGGTATAATGTAGATTCTAAATTGTTCAAATAATGACCCCCGGGGGAAGGGCGGGGCCACAATGGGGAATCAAAGTTTTATATAGAAATATATAGGAAAAATCTTTGAAAATCTTCTTCTCAAGAACCACTGGGCCAGAAAAAGTGAAGCTTATGTGGAAGCATTCTGGGGTAGTGTAAATTCTAAATTGTAGGAATCATGACCCCCGGGGGAAGGGCGGGGCCATTATAGGGAATCAAAGTTTTACATAGAAATATATAGGAAAAACCTTCTTCTCGGGAACCACTGGACCAAAAAGCTGAAACATATGTGCCCATGGAAGGATCATGGGGTAGTGTAGATTTCAAAATGTCTAAATTATGATCAGTGGGGTAGGGTGGGTATGCACTATGTATAACAAGGGGGAAATCTGGTAAAGAACAGAATGGCCATAGCTTCTCAGGTGAGCGATGTGGCCCATGGGCCTCTTGTTTATTTTTTTTTTTTATTTCACATTAACACAGAAAATAACAGAGAATACACAAAAGCAGACACTTAATGAGGCTTAATCATCATTATCGTCTCTGTCACATGTATCCCGGATGGAACTTTAGGAAACCAAGGATTAACCCAGGCTGATGTGTTCCAGGGACCATTGAGACAAGCGTAATGGCAGGCATTGAACCACCAGCCTCCTCCAAAGTAAGCAGCACAGTTATATACACCACTGCTGTCGTAATCCCTGTCCAGGGTACTGAAGTACATCCCAGACAGAACAGAAGAGGAATCGCCAGTGTTAAGTAACATGTCACCTGTGAAAAGAAAGAAACGATTATTGCATAAGTACCTCATTTACATTACCATTTTCATCAAAATTCTAAATTGTTAAAATTCATCATGCATTTTTAACACAAGGGTTAAAAATATCCAAAAATCTTTCATAGTTCTTGATTATCTTTGTTTTTATATAATCTATTTTGCCTCCTGTCTTATCATGGAAACAAGATTTTTTTATATGAGTTTACTTATATCTGTGCATATATTTTCACAACAGAACAGATAAGACCAAAAAAAAAAAAAAAAGAGTCATGATGCATTTTCATCAGAATATCAATTTTGACAATGTGATTTTTACGGACAAAAATCGATTTCAGTTCTACAGATGTATTCGAAAATGGTGTGCCAACGTTGTCACCATCTGTTACGCAGGTAGGTTAAGGTTACAACCAAATATTCTACTTGCCTATATGATATGACGTCATAGTAAGCTGTATGACGTGAAGTTTAGAGATAATTATTTCTTATAATCGATATCTAAGATTGATTTGAGGTCGTGAAAATGAATCAAAATATGCAGAGGCATAATACAAACAGAATTTTGTCGTTTCTGGGTCTCTGTAGTTATCACAGGGGTTACATACCAAACCCGTGACGTCATAACTGTTGATCACGCAGTCGCAGAGTGAAAGTGAAACATAACGTGAATTCATGTAAACGAACACAAGAAATCGGAGTTTAAAAGCATTTAGAATGAATAACTTGTTTGATTCATTTGGGAATAAAGCTTATGAATAAGGTATGGTAATATACTTCTACAATTTCTTCGTTAAATTAAAGCAGGGAGGGTGTTTACTTGCCGATCAGCCTTTCCTCTGTCGTTCGTAACAAATAAGATGCAAAAGTTCAACACTACGCCGCACACTTTGAAACTTAATTTTTGTTTCTATCTAAAGTTCTTATTCTATTGTTTTTGGAAAGTGCTGCTATAGAATCGTATGGTTTACGGGAATTAATGCATTTTTTTCGATGTTATGAACAAAATGTAAAAATTTTGGGAAGGTTTCGTCCGAAAATGTTGAATAATTATTTCTGTGATAGGACAGTAGGATTCTAGCAGCACTTTGCATGGTACAGAGATGTTTTTACATAACTAATATTACAAATTTAAATTAATTATCCCCGGGGTAGTGTTGAACTTTTCACTTTTTCATTAAGGCATATTTTCTAATTATAGACGTCAGTGGTGACCTCGTGGTGAAGTGCGTGATGTAGTATAAGTCCCATTGAAGTCTGTAGAATGCATAATTATAACAAAAGTTTTATCCTTGACTTTTCCGATTTATTAGTGTTACATAATTATAAAAAAAAGTGTTAATTCGCCGAATTTTGGTCCATGTGCTGCCTTAACATACCCGCGTACGGTATGAGGTGGAATAAGCAATTGGATTTAATTCCGCTTGATCCAGTGAATGTAAATATTTCCATAATTAAGTACTGGCCTGCCGCTTCTCCGGATTTGAATCTGATAGATTATGTTTTGTAGATCATGAAACATTGTGAAGAAAAATTCTGATAGATACATAAACTATCCTTGACTGGAAAGTTACAATCATGTTCAAACAGCAACTTTATAGGCAGTCTGGTAGAGTATAAAACGGCTTTTCAATCCTTTTATAGTGAGACATATGGGATCTGACCGACTCTTAACTTCATGCATTGTAAATTCTGTGCAACAGATTTTAAAAGCTGAGTACGTATGAAAATCGATCAAATCAATACCCTTTCAAACTTTATCAATTTTTTGAGTAACTTTTGGCTTCAAGAAAATATAAATTAAAAACATTCTCATACATAATCTTTTTTCAAAAATGTACTTAACTTAAAGACCTGATTTTTTTTTACCGTACTGTTGGTTGAAAAGTGTGTGTGTGTGGGGGGGGGGGGGGGGGGGGGGGGGGCTGGTCGAAGTTACAGTGGCGTTATTAATGCCAGACCCACTATACCCAAAATGTCAAAAATCTATATGCACATAGCAGTACACAGGAAGTCTGTGTTTTATAATAAGGGTTAACTTTATGTATTTCGTTTCTTATTCTAAGTTTTAATACTTTATGACCTGCATGACCTTTATGACCTGCATGTTTGTCATCGGGAAAAAATGTTGCAATTCGTAATTAGCTATTTCAAACGCAGAAAACTAGGACTATGTATGATTATATTATATGTATATGATATATAATTTCAGAGTAGAAAATGTAATTAAAGTCCCACTTTCAGTACATTGATTTATTATGGAGTACACGTAAGAAGACTCTTGATTTTCAAGCACAAGCTCGACTTCGACTGAAGTAATTATGAGTGCCGTTCGGGGTGTCTTTTTTTAATTTTTGAATGAAAAAGCTTTACAATGTATAGAAGGAAATCTTCAAAACATTGTTTTTAATTAAGACTAGCAGATGAAATTTGTGTTTTCCATGTGTATCGGCTAAAACAGCAGATTATAGCAAATTGAAATGATATAAAATGATGAAAGAACATTTCAAAACAGATGATACCGAACGGTTATAAACGGTATAAACATGTTAAAACGGCATGAAACACGAACCCCTGAAATTTCCAAAGGTTTGATAAGGTGTCTCTTAGCAAAAGATACCCCCTGTTGAAGGAAAGGTTTCTTTTAGAAGAAATCATAAATTTGATTTTTTCAAACATTATCGTTTCATAAAAAAGCGACAGAAATTACCAGCTTTTTGCATTTTAGTTTATGACAAAATATTTTAACAATTTGTATATGTAATTTTTACTTTTTCTCCCCCTATCATTCTCCTTCTGTACTTAGTCACACATTCAGCCTACTATCTACCTAATGTTCCATTAGCTGGTCCTCCAAGAAAAAGTCTGTACTTTTCTGCTTCTTCAGAAATGGAAAACTGATGATAAACTTCATACAAAGTTGTACCATGTTTTAACGTAAGTGAGACATAGAGGGAAGAGTTCCTTCCCTTGGTAAGATGATGCATCACGTCATTTCCTTCAAAATATCATCCTAGGGTTAGATGTAGCATTAAATTAGCAAAGTAAGGTTATTTAAGAATTTTTTTAAGGGATTGCATTAAACAAAACACATGTATTCATACGATAGCAGACCTATTTTTTTTTTATTCACATGAAGCAGAATTTGTGCAAAATCTAATGCGTGAAAAGAAGAAAACACTTGTTGTGGCCTTGAACTTGATATTTAGATATATCGTCTACGTATTGTCAATTCTCAGTGGTCAATTCCATTGCTACGTCGATACGATATATCCTGGTGAGCTTGAGATAAAAGATGCCAGAGAGACTGACACATCTGTTTCTTACTTGTATATTTTACTTGAAAAAGACGTTAATGGTAATGTAACAACCACGCTACGAGGGTTGTCAAAAAGTTCGTGGACAATGACGTGTTCGTCAAGATTAATGGTTATATATGCATCTATTGTATATCAAAATATTTCTTATGAAAACCAAGTCTTAATGGTTTAATTCTTATTGATGAAACTAGATATTTTTGTAAGAATCGGGGTCTTTAAAGACTGCATATTGTGCGTACGGACCAGTCTGACGTTAAGCTAATTTCATTATAACGTCAAACATTTGGATTTTGACTTAAACACATGTTCATGGTTCATGGACACACACTTCATTTCTTTTTTAAGGCGCAACGCACTTCCAAGTGCTAGCAATAATCTTTAAGTAAAGATTATAATTTATTTAATTTTGAAAATTCAAAACAATTCACAAAAAATTAGGAGTGTCATCTAAATTAACATTAAGTATACACAAACTGCACAGCAAAGTCCGAGACTGCGCTAGATTTATAACGAAGTCACGAATAGAAACCTCCATTTTCAGTTAATTACATGTTTTTAAATTCTTGTAGTGTCTTCGAATTTGTACAAACCGTTGAAAAAATTGTATATACCAATCTGGAATTGATGCACTAAATATTTTTCAATAATATTGAGTTGTGTCACCTAATATTTTGTCTCTTACGTCGTTTTAACTGTAAAAATACATATATTTTTTTTATCGGACGCTGCCCTGTGCTGACGGCCGACATCCCTTTTTTGGTCGAGTTTTGACACATATTTGTTAAGGTTTTTGTTTAGCATTTGTACTGTCTATAAAGTAAGCGATACTTAAGATATCATAGATTGATTATAGACTCTTTATTTGTGTAACATAAATTTTTTATCAATTTTTGACCAGTCTTATATAGAAAATAATCATTTTTATTGCGAACACTTTATATCGCAGTTTATGTCATTTTAACCTTGGTCCATGTGCACCTTCCGCGACCTTTAAAGACCCCGATTTTTACAAAAATATTACGCTCCATCAATAAAAATTAAATTATTTTGATTTGTTTTTCATAAGAAATATTTTGATATACAACAGATTTATATGGAACCATTTATTTTCACAAAAACGTCATTGTCTACGAACTTTTTGGACAGCCTTCGTATAACGCCATGACTTTTACTTTTCTATCGTCACCTTCCCTTACTTATGCAGTAATATACGTTTATCACCTGCAAAAGGAGTCTACATATCTCAGTTACTTCATACCCAAGAGGATGCGCTACGTATGAACAATTTCTAAATCGAGGTAAATTATTAACAAGCAAATTGATGAAACAAGAATATCAAGAGTCCCGTTTAAATACATGTAATCATTTCGCAAATTTTATGGTTGCTACAGTGACCTTGTCAGCAAATACAATTTATCATCGAGACAAATGCTGACTGATGTTTTTCCTCATTATTGTTAGTCCATTATTTATACACTGATTTGACGACGGATTTTTCCGCTATGTCCCCATCATCACCGGTCAGCAGGGGACGCTCACTTTTCCATGGCATCTAGTCCCACCTCTGATGTTTCGGAAGTCCGTGTTTGCTCTGCTCCAATTTTTTTTTATTGTTTTATGGATTTTGATATTGAATACTGTTCGTTATCTCCATATCAATCTATTAGTAAATGAATAACTTGTAAGTTTTAAAAGTGCTCTTCAATATTAGGGGTTGTATACGATAATATGAATTTTATTAATGTTTAGAAGAGTAATTGATTTTGACTGTGCTCAATGTACGGTTGGAACCCTTCAATTTTTTGTTTGCAAAAAGTTAATTTGAGTTGAGTATATGAATGTTTATATATAAATGTGAGAAAAAAAAAATGAAAGAATAATGCGTGAAGGAGGGCAACTTTGGAAATATGTAATAATTAGAAAAAGTGAGATTTAAGAACAGATGGTACAAACAAAAAAATGGATGCCTGAATTGGTATATATTTTTATAATCTGATTAGATTGCAAATGGTGCAAATACGTAATAAATTTCTAAAACATAAAAGAAGTTGTAAACCTTCTGTGATGTTCAAAATACTAACCTTATGAAACCATTGTTATTATTCCATACAAATGTTTTTCGCCTCAAATTCCATTTTTGTGCAACTTTGAATAAGAAATTAAAAACTATGCGGTGAAACCTATTCATTTTATTCATATAAATGTAAACCAAGTTGTTATTTTCAAAATTTTTGACAAAAGTTTTTTTGTATCATCTGTATCTAAATAGAAAAAAAAACAATGTAAATTGGTTCAATTTAAGGATAATTTTCATTAAGAAAAAAAAAGGTTCACATCCTTCGTTTTTAAGTATGTTTTTGAAATCCTTTACAAAATTCAATTCAGCATATCATTATCTTTGTGGCCGATTAATGTGCCCTTTATCAGTTGAAAGAAATTTTTACTGTTAATTGAAGTTTTCTCTAGCTTTTGACAAAATACGGGAAAAAGCTGAAGTTCAAGGAGTTATAAATAACACTTGGGAGGGCTTTATTACCGTGCAAAATTCGAATGCTTTTGAAACAATGTGTTTTAGTTTCCGTAGTTTTCATATTAAAGAAAAATACTGAGACTGATTTGTACTGAAACTGAACAATGTTCTTTAGTATGACTAAATATATGCGCATTCCTTGACAAATCAATATTTACAAACAAGAGAACATTGCAATAAAAAATACCAAAAGTTTTACAGAGATTGAAATAAGAATCTACCAATCCAATAAGAGTCATGAGGATTTCCAAAACCATTCTTGTACTCCGCCCATGTTCTGTTGAAACCCACAGATCCACTCATCCGTCTTTGGATTGCCTAAGGATTACCAACAAAAATATTCTAAGAAATAGCGTTTACACCTTATACATGCAAAATAATGCTTAGGATATTTAAATGGGAATCTCGAGCTCATTTACTTTTTTGTATAAGAGAAATCTACAAGTAATTCAAACACAAACAAAAACAGAGAAAGAGAGAGAGAGGGAGAGAGATCTTACTGTCCAGCCTCCACCCTCTGTTGCCATGTTACAGTACACGTCAACCTGGATCTCGTTACCAAATGGACGAATTCTATATACACCAGAATTTCTTTCTCCGCTTACATATAGATCCTCACAATTTGTATTTGGTTTGGCACCTATATGATTAAGTCAGAATGTTTATAATATGTGAAAAAGAACAGGAAATTGGGTTATTAAAGAGTCATATCCTCTTTATCATAAAAATAGAAAAGAATACCTCTTTGTTAATTGTTATTTTTATATTTAAAGGTATTTCCGTGTGTAACATTTTTATAAGTGCGTATGTTTCACATATTTAACAGAAACTTTATTTATCATGTCAGAAACGATTAATAAAATAAAACATTTAGTTATCTTAAGGTTGTTATTGCAAAGACATTAGTTAAAACATTAATAAATGAAAAAAAAATGTTTATTTCTTATTATTCTTACTACAAAGTCTCAGATTAAGCCTAGTTGATGCTTCCATACAATCATTTATTTATCTACAGCGTAGAGATATATTATGCTGCAATGGGTAAATAGAAAGTTATCGTGATGCGATTTAACATCGATAAAATTTATTTCAATTTTAATTGTCAAAACATTCAATAGAACATTCCTATAAAAATTCTTCAAATATTTTTTGGATACATAATGCCAAGTTACGAATTTGATATCTCTGAGACAACGGGTGTTTTTATATTACATATCAGGGTTACAAATTATTGTTTCTTTAAATTTAGGATTAGTTCAGTTTCATATGAGAATATTCACTCCTCCGTGGCACCTAATCTCACCTCTGATGCTTTGGAGATCCGTGTTTGCTTTGTGCCTCTTTTGTATTGTTATAAAAATTGACTTTTGAGCTCGAATTATGTTCGTTTTTTCCAAATATTTCGCATATGTAAGCTTTCAAAAAAAATCTAAAAATGCTATCAATCTGCATTCAATTTGATATCAAATATATCAATTTAAACTAACAATCATAATTTGCAATGTCGACAGTATTTTAGAATATATTCCGTTATAAACAATGTTGTAAATCATGGCTTTCAGATTTCTTTCCGTGATTCAAACAATTTTCTTCCTTAAAAGTGGATAAAAATAAATCCATATATATGGATCGGATAAGGATGGTTTTGGTATGGATTTATCGGCAATTTGAATTCTTTTTGCAGGAAACATATATTATTTAAATACAAAACAACTTGGATAAATAACACAAAGAATCTTTTTTCTTTAGAAATCATCAATATTTTTCATAGATCTCTATTCAGATAGGTCACCCCTACTAATGTGTTCGGAACCTTTTATTTTTCGGAGTTCTGCAAATTATAAAACCCGATGAGTTCAGAGTAGCTCTTGCGAGAGTTAGCGAGACTTCAGCGAGATAGGGTAAATTATTCACGGAAATGTGGCTAGGAAGTGACTAGCACGTGGAGGCATGGTAAACAGAAAAGTTATGTTGCGTTTCATTTTTCACCACCCTAAAATCAGCTGATAATGCCTGTAGAAATGTACTTCAATCAATCGATCTCTTTTACATTCATTCAAATTTAAATAAGTGTTCTCTTTAATAGAATTTTCTGCATTCATGAATATTTTTGCATGGGAACCGGGACTATATTTTTTGGTGTCAGATTAGCAAATGAGGCACCAGCATGATTTTAACTGACCAGTCAGCTGAATGAGTATTGCATCATGGGTTACTACGAATGCTACAGGAATTTTACGCTTGAAAAAAAAGAAAAAACCTTATGGTGAATGAAAAGCTTTTTTAAAATATTATTTTCATGCTCATAATGACAAACAATTCATTTGTTAAACATGTTTAATAAACCGCGGAAGTCTAGGTTTCTGAAAGTCATACTGCAAAAGCGATTTGCGTCTGTATTAATTCCTTTGTTGTACTATCGGTGAATACAATTGCCAGGTGAATTCCCTGGCCGAACACGTGATCTCGAACGTAAACAAAGTTTTGTCCATTTAAATGCATAAGAGATGCTGCTCGTTTTCTTTACCCTTGAAGCGCTGGTGTTCTGAACTAGACGCAAACTACATTTTGTTAAACATTTTTTCCATTTTACGACAAATTAAAAACCGTAACATCTTTCATGATTTCTTATCTTTGTATTTTGTTCGTAAGTAATTTTTTTTTATTTTGCAGTCGATTAACATGATCGTAGATTGACCTGAATTACGCGTTCGAAGTAAAATGTAGACATGTATTTGGCATAAACGTTGCTATTCATTCAACGATTGGTCAGTTGCTCGTGGTAAGATCCTCTGTGCGTATCTATAACAATGGCCATATAAGGCAAACAAATGTTTGTCAGTGTAGATGATTATTCACATTTTTTACCAGCGAATCGGTCACTAGTGAGCTCTAATTTTCACCGAAAAGTATATAAGATATACGATATATTGTTATTTTAACAACTCCTCCTTCAGCCACCCTTTTTCTGTTGAAAATCATGAGAGTCTTTCAGGAGTACCATAAGGCAACATTTATTAAAAGACATGTTTTCAAAAGAAACAGGCTATAGCAATATCATGTTTACTGCCATTTTATTTATAAAAAACCGGTTCTACCCTATAAGCTTTGAATAGATCAACCTAAACCACGTGTCTTGAATTTAAATCACAAAAACATTAGTAGGGGTGTAGGTGACGTGAGTTATGTTTGCAATTCAAAGTGGCAGAATTTTGTAAGATTATGACTCAATGTTGAAATGTGTGCATAATTTTGCATGATATTGCTTAAAAAAAAAGAAAAATGGCACATATCTAAGCAGCAAATAATGCTTAAGATTTCTTTATATCTTACAGATAAACTATTTGTTATTTCCGTTCAAAAAATATATATCAATCCATGCATTAAAATGTTGTTTGTTTTATGTATCCTTAATACCCCGGTAGGTTATATATTCACAAGTCAGCCAATTGTCGCCCGATCATCGAGCTCTGAGCTACAGTTTGATTTTATTCATCGGCCAAATTTTTGGACACCCTTATTGGTGAGCGACGGACGACCGACTTAATAAATTGAGCACCGATGGTCGGACGATGATTGAAGGTTGGTCGACGAATAACTTTAATTGACGAAATCGGCCACCGACGCAGAAAAAAATATAACTTGGACCGATGGATACAAAATTGGTCGGCCGACAAATATAGAGGTCAAAATCGGGCAAGACAACTGATGCTGAACTACAGACTGTCAGACGAAGAATCCCATTTTGCTTCAAAACCCGTCGGGAGTTTGTCGTTTTTGGAAATATGGGATTTTAATGATACAACGAAAATTTTGTCAAAAAGTTTGAAAATAAATACTTGGGTCTTGTTTTATATGTATAAAATAAAACGAAGAAGGCTCACCGCTTAGATTGTCATTTTTTTTTTTTCAAAAATGTACAGAAATGGAATTTGAAGTGAAAAATATTTGTATAGAATAACAAGGATTGTTTCAAAAAAGTAGATTTTTAAACAAGACAGAAGGCTAATAGTTATATATATATATATATATATATATATATATATATATATATATATATATATATATATATATATATATATATATATATATATATATATATATATATATATATATACATACATATATATATATATTATAAATTCATTATTTGCATCATTTGCAATGAAATTAGGTAAACAAAAATATCCCAATACATGCATCTAATTTTCATCCTTATCATCTGCCCTTAAGAATGAATATAGCGTGAAAAGAAAAACTCCATGCTGAAATCCAAAGGGCTTGGGGGTATATTCATGTATCAGTCACATGAAGAATAATTTTCATTTTTTTCAAAGATTAAATTTCTAAAACATAAAAACATGTAAATGCAAAAGTTACAATACGAGGGTTGTCCGTAACGTTCGTGGACAGCATTGATAATTACTGACAAACATTTGTTAAAGATATGAAACTATCATTTTCATCAAATTAATGTTTCATTTTATACATATGCAAATTTTAAACAAAAACAAAGAACAAATAGTTAAATTTTTATCAGATACAAAAAAGATACACACTCATACCTGGAGCAGTAAAAACGAAAATCCTTCACGTTACCAGACGTCAAAAATGTATAGTAATACATATAATTTTTCTCAACATAGTCACATTTTAACTCACTACATTTCTTATGTCGCATTAAACAGTCATCAAAAATATGATCAAACTGTTCCGATTTGATATATAAAATAATAATTAACACTTCCTGTCTCATATCCTGCAAATCATCAAACCTTTGTCTGCGTGAAAACGACGACTTTATTTACGGAAATACAGCAAAGTCACGTTATGAATTTCATTTTCCACAGCACTGCAATCTTGGAATGATGGTCTTCCATCACGAGTGTCATCATGTAAATTGTTACTTCCGTCCAAAAGTATTAGACTCCTCTTAAATTCTACAGAACGTTTTTCTTTGCTATACATTTTTTTCTCTGCTGTTTACAGCATATTCTTGGTCTCTGTTGGGTGTTTTTTCGATGTCTACGCAGAATGTTATCACTGCTCTCGGCTCCACCTCTTCTGTTAACGTTCCGTTTTTGAACAATGCCAGTCCTGTCTCAGTGGGTTCTAACCCCGATTTATCAGTAATTTCTAAATTCTGAATGTTCAAATTTTGGAGGCTTGATTTTATAACCTTTGTCAACCTCATTATGTAAAAGCAATCCGAATTTCCGCGAAATATTACAAAAAGATATGAAATTATAAGGTAATAATTAAAATATCTTTTTAATTAAAATTTGGTGGTGCTACGTGTCACCATCACAAGACTAATAATGAGGTCATAATTGTACAATAATTATCTCCTCGCGCAACTAGTTGCGGAGGGGATATAGCATCGCGAATGTGCGTATGTATGTGTGTGTGTTAGTGTGTTAGTGTGCTCGTTACCTTGTGGGCAAGATTGACAGAGAACCATTGCATTAACGTTTCTCAGCGTTTACATACTTGTGTGGCAGTATAAAAGGACAAAGCCTATAAATTTTCAAGTCCATTGATGAAATATTTCTTCAGATATCGCGTTTTTACTGCCTCGAAACACTGACATTTTATGTACGAGTTGACAATAATCATATGTGGGCAAGATTGACAGAGAACCTTTGCATTAACCACTCTCAGCGTTTACATACTTGCGTGGCAGTATAAAAGGAAGAAGCCTATTAATTTTCAAGTTCATTGATGAAATATTTCTTTAGATATCGCATTTTCACTGTCTCGAAACCCTGACATTTTATGTACGAGTTGCTAATAATCATTTCCGCTAGGGAACCAGTTTAAAAACCGTGTCGAGTCTGTGGGAACCAGATTAATAGAATTTGATGAACTTCGCGGTTTGATTACCAAACTCCACGGAATTTGGGATGCACGTTAAATTGAAAGTGTGTGTGTGTGGGGGGGGAGGGGGGTGGTGTGGGGGGGGGGGGGACGGGTTCCGACGCCTCTGCCACAAGTTCAAATAAACTGTCGATGTACATTGTTATTTTTCATTACGAAAAAAATCCGTATTGCCTGGAACTGTGAAATATACTAATTAGGTTGGTAAATAATTAAAATTACTGAGACTTGTACATGTAGCATGCGTGATATGTTTCTACTTGGTATAAGGGAAACTGCCCAATTACGTATGCATATTATGACCCCCACCCCATTCCCAACTTAAATGCTATGCAATTTGTTTTTTGATAAAAATAGACACCCCCACCCCCTATAATTCTGTTAAAGAAATAAATAGAGCTGAAAAAACAATTTAATACCTTTTATTAAACTTTACTACCCCAAATTAGGTATCAATGTTATGCCCCTCCACTAACCAAGACGCGTTGCACTTTGCATTTTGTAAAAAAAAAAATTGGATCAACAACAACACTCCACTCATTATTTTGTCAAAAGTAAGGAAGTTGATCCTAATGTTGCGGGTTTTAATCCCTTTGTGGGACGTGAAGACTGATCCTTCGAATGAGACCGTGTAAACCAAGGGCCAATGTCCCAATAGATGCTGGTACAAAAGGATCTCTCACTGCTCAATGGCCGTCAGTGACTATTATGAGAAAAAATGGGCAGCTCTTCACGGGCAAGCCTTCATATGAGCAAAATATTCATGAGAGGGACATTAAAGAAGATACTTTGTACTATCAATCTTTGACATGTTTAACGTCCCTCTAGAGAATTTATCTCTCATGAGATATTACCATTACCAGAGATGTTCCTGCCGCCAGGGGATGCTCCGCTTAGCGGTGCCCTTGTTATATATTTAAAATTTAATATTATATTACATTATGTTATTCATATATAGTAAAGGATCATTAATATGCAAATGATGAATATCAATGACACCATCTTCATTTAAATTTTAACTTGTCAACGAACTTTACGGACATCCCTCGTATGTTCAAAAGTAAATCTGTATGTGTACTCCAAAAATATACTTAATTTTTCAGCGTCTTTGTAGCAGAAAATAATGCGCCAATTCATGAATACAAGTGTATCTTAAAAAGAATAAATACATTATGATGCACAGCTGCCTGTTGAGCTAATTTAAGGTTAGGCAAACCACCCAATACCCAGTCACTGTACTTAATTTTGAGTATAGTCAGTATATGTAAACTCACACGGATATGTCCAGATATGAAAACGATTGCAGTGGTGGCAATCAATGCCATCATTAACCTCTAAAGGAAAACAAAGTAGTCTTACAATACATACATTTCAGCAAATCTCTGATTTCAGTGTCTTCCCGTCGTAGTTGATCTACCTCTCTCTGAATCTTTCTCACTTCAGTCAGAAGTGTAGAAATTGTTACAGTATTCCTTTCCTCACTGCTGCACACATCTTCATCATTCTTATAAATGTACTGAGCATTTGTAAATGCGAAACAGAAAACAAAGAAAATTATTAAAACGATTACCATGATTAAACTTTGACTTTCTCTTAGCAAAAGTGTTTTTAATTTTTTTTTTCTTCTGCTTAAGTACCTGCTGATGAGGAAGTGAAAAATTTCCTTATAATGTAATTTAATTCAATCTGTTTATTTGTTATATTGACACTGCTTTATAAAGTGACCATTAAATGAAATTAAAACCCCAAAACCTGTCAAAACAAATTGATTTAGGGCTTTTTCATGATTCCAGATTTTATGAACAATCATTACAAAATGTATTGTATTAGTGTTAAGATAAACATTTTTCTGGAAAACGTAACTAGAATCTGTCCGTCTGCGATTGTTTAAGATTTTTAAAAATTTCTCTCTACAACCTTTATTCGCGCTGTTTTCACAGAATGCCAAGCTTATTTGACTGGAGTTACGTATTTTACGTTATTTTTATGTTAGACGTATTTCCCTTTGCCCGACCGGATTTCTGTATGCGAGTGCCGGGACTGTAGTGGCCGGCCGGTGGGGATCTTCTGAAGAGAAGTTATTTTTTACACAAACAGATCAGACGAACTTTTTTGGGATCGGGGCCAAATTATTGAAGGAATCGCTGTCTAATTAGAAGACTATGCCAGGGCATCAACAATAGTGGAAAACATGGGAAAATTTGCATATCGGGCATATATATTTCCGTTTCTACTTGAAATAACAGTTGTACAAGAAATTGAAATACTGTCTAGTTTAGTTAATTTGAAATGCACGAGTCCCCATGACGTCCAATTTAACTATAAAAAGTTGTGTCATTAATTAAAACACGAAACAAATTTATTGATTATTCGCTTACCGTAGTCAAATATCAACATTTATAAAATAAACAACAAAAGAATTTTTAATTATGATCAAAGCAATCTTGTTACCTTAAATTATATATGTGACCTAGATTTAGGTTTTCGGGAGCACAAACACTTGTACAGGCCCTAGATCACTTCTCCGCCGCCATAATGAATGCAATGTCACAGTTGATGAAACAGGAGTTGGTCAGCATGGTCAGGAAACAGATTTGTGTGGATGTTAAAATAACAGAGGAAGTTGCGTTGCTTAAGAAGTCGGATGGTAATAACTGAGGGACGATGTCTGTATCAGATGATGGAGTGAAGATCTATGCGGCAATTCCGATTTCTCCACATGGTTCAGATGGGCTGTTTACCATGTTTACGGAAGTGGAGTTCTCGGTCTCGCGAGGCCTCGGTGATAGTGGACAGCGTTGCGCTAGTGACTTGCTTTTGATCCAAAAATGATTCATTATTTATTTTGTTTGTTAAAAGATATATCATATATGATTACTTAATAAACATTTAGATAATTAAAACATTTATTTTTCTTTAGTGTATTTATACGCCAGTGATATATACATGCAGGTTGAATTTTGACCTTTCTGTGGTATTTCAATAGAGAAATTTACATGCCATAGGAATCACGGGGAAATTAACAAGATTCACCTTCGTAGTGTTAATCATAGAGGAAACAATTGGAAATGGAAATATCTTAGATTAATGGTAAATATCACACACTACTCGATTTCAATATTAGAGTAATGTTTCATATGCAGTGGAGCCTCATTTAGCCGGACGCTTTGGTTCCTAGTCAATTTGTCCGGATATGTGAAGGTCTGGATTCTTAAATCACCAGTTAAAGAAAACAAATTCACATTCAAAATTTCCGTCCTGATGAAAAATCGTCCGGATACTGAAGCATCAGGATATCTGGGGTCCGGATATTTGAAGGTCCACTGTATAATTGTTTATATTACAATCTGTTAATTATTACAGAATACAGTTATGGGTTTCATATATTTTTGTTTTTGATAAAAATCTAAATTGAATGCTAGAACGATTATTTTTATCCCCCTGTCTTGCCTTTAAAAATCATTCTTTTTTGTCCAAGACATATTCAAATTGAAAAGTCATTGCAACCGCTCAAGCTGCAGATAATGTATCGTTATGGTTTTATATTTTAGTTGCAGATCAAAAAGGAACTGGTCATTTAAAGTAAATATTGAGCAATTTTACGCAGTTTAGCAGAAAGTTAACAAATTGTTCAGTGTAGTGTTTAGCAGAAAGTTATCAAACTGTTCAGTGCAGTGTTTAGTAGAAATTTATCAAACTGTTCAGTGCAGTGTTAAGTCTAGAAAGTTACCAAACTATTCAGTGCAGTGTTTAGTAGAAAGTTATCAAACTGTTCAGTGCAGTGTTTAGTAGAAATTTATCAAACTGTTCAGTGCAGTGTTTAGCAGAAAGTTAACAAATTGTTCAGTGCAGTGTTTAGTAGAAAGTTATCAAACTGATCAGTGCAGTGTTTAACAGAAAGTTATCAAACTGTTCAGTGCAGTGTTTAGTAGAAAGTTATCAAACTGTTCAGTGCAGTGTTTAGTAGAAAGTTATCAAACTGTTCAGTGCAGTGTTTAGCAGAAAGTTAACAAATTGTTCAGTGCAGTGTTTAGTAGAAAGTTATCAAACTGTTCAGTACAGTGTTTAACAGAAAGTTATCAAACTGTTCAGTGCAGTGTTTAGTAGAAAGTTATCAAACTGTTCAGTGCAGTGTTTAGTAGAAAGTTATCAAACTGTTCAGTGCAGTGTTTAGTAGAAATTTCTCAAACTGTTCAGTGCAGTGTTTAGTAGAAATTTATCAAACTGTTCAGTGCAGTGGTAAGTAGACAGTTATCAAACTGTTCAGTGCAGTGTTTAGTAGAAAGTTATCAAACTGTTCAGTGCAGTGTTTAGTAGAAATTTATCAAACTGTTCAGTGCAGTGTTTAGCAGAAAGTTAACAAATTGTTCAGTGCAGTGTTTAGCAGAAAGTTGTCAAACTGTTCAGTGCAGTGTTTAACAGAAAGGTGTCAAACTGTTCAGTGCAGTGTTTAGTAGAAGGTTATCAAACTGTTCAGTGCAGTGTTTAGTAGAAAGTTATCAAACTGTTCAGTGCAGTGTTTAGTAGAAATTTATCAAACTGTTCAGTGCAGTGTTTAGCAGTCTCTTCTTTCCAGTATTGCATTATCAACTACATTTTTTTCCAAAATCTTAGAAACATTCTGTTATCAACCTGTTTTATTTTATACATTCTGTTATCAACCTCTTTTATTCTGTTATAAACTTGTTTTATTAAATCCATTCTGTTATTAATCTCTTTTATTTTATCCATTCTGTTATTAGCCTGTTTTATTTGATCCTTTCTGTTATCAACCTGTTTAATTTATCCATTCTGTTATTAACCTGTTTTATTTGATACATTCTGTTATCAACCTGTTTTATTTTATCCATTCTGTTATTTACTGTTTTATTTTATCCATTCTGTGTTTAACCTGTTTTATTTCATCCATTCTGTTATCAACCTGTTTTATTTTATACATTCTGTTATCAACCTGTTTTATTTGATCCATTCTGTTATTAACCTTTTTTTATCCATTCTGTTATTAGCCTATTTTATTTGATCCATTCTGTTATTAACCTGTTTTATTTTATCCATTCTGTTATTAACCTGTTTTATTTTATCCATTCTGTTATTATCCTGTTTTATTTTATCCATTCTGTTATTAACCTGTTTTATTTTATCCATACTGTTATTAACCTGTTTTATTTTATCCATTCTGTTATTAACCTGTTTTATTTTATCCATTCTGTTATCAACCTGTTTTATTTTATCCATTCTGTTATAAGCCTTTTTTATTTCATCCATGCTGTTCATTCTGTTATTAACCTGTTTTATTTAATCAATTGCTCTACCCTTTGTTATAGGCGTCTTTTGAGAGCACCTCCCCATAAAAGAATAAAATCAAAAACCCGGGTTTTTTGTAAGATGTTTGAAAATTAAAAAAAAAAATATTAGTTTACAGAGACGATGATAAAGGGAAGGAAGGAGGATACAATTTACATGTTGGTGATAGAGTATTTAGCATATTAGGGAAGGAAATGCGGTTGATTTTCTAATGCAGAAAAAGATTTTTTCATATGCAAAGTTTTGATAACAGCGTGGGCCATTGCCATTCTACCTTTGGGGGTCATTTTAACAAACTTGAATATACACTAATAAAACACTCTTGACAGTAACATTGAATTGTCATGGATTTGCTAGCCTTGAGAAAATTTTAAAAGATTTTTCCTATAAACTTCAATCAACAATAATTGAGGATGTTTTCCCATAAATATGACTTATCATTGCTTTTCCAATTTCTTAAGACATTTCCTATATATTCCTATGCTACACTGTTTGCCTTTCATGGCCCCACCATACACTGGGGGTCATGACATGAACACGACTTGATTCTACACTATAAATGAAGCTTCTACATGAGTTTCATTTTTTTTTTCTATCTTAGTGGTTCCTGATAAAAATGTTTAAAAGATGCTATTAAAATTCACAAGTTTTAATTTATCTCCCCTTAAAAAGTGTGTAGTCCAAAACATACTTTATGGCGGTTGAAATCGGCAGAATTATTCTAAAGTGATAAAAATAAACATTGAGATAATGATTTCAACAGACAATTTTGATAAGAAAAATTTGTGACACTTGAGTTCAAGTGAACTAAAATACATGAACACACGTGTAGGCTGATAGAGGATAGAGTTATTTATTACTTCTCTCCTTGCACGGGGATCAGTTAAAATTCACAGCTTGTATTAAAACGTTTCATTTGTTATTTACGTGCCTAAAAATATTATAAAATTAATTATAAAGTAAAAATTATTAATATAAAAAACAAAAACAAAAAATAAAAAAAAATTATTTATAGAAAGATTTATGAAGTAAGGTTATAAAACTATTTTCAGAACATAATTGGACTTTTCATTAAATTCAAAACACATTGTGATATAATATCTATACTACTATCTATACTATTATTCTGTCAACAAAAAAAGTCATTGTTATGTAATATAAGTATTGGACTTTGTATGTACATGAATATTCCATACATATACAAAGAATTAAATGTTAATCTCCAATATACGTTTTTCAATCAATGCACATGTACTATACACAACTATATAAAAAAGATTAAATTTTTGATTCTCAAAATACATTTTTAGTCAATACACAGGTACACATTTATCAAATACATAAAGTGATCAAGTTACAATATACACTTTACAATAAACAAGATATAACACAGTCAGTGAGGCTTTATCATCATGACAGTCTCCTTTATCTCCCCACTAGACATGACTGTAGGATACCATGGTGCGAGCCAGACTGCCGGGGACCATTGACCGTTGAGGTTGGCGTGGCGACAGGAGTTATACCACCAGCCCCCTCCTCCTCCGAAATAAACAGCACAGTTAAATCCAGCTCTGTCATTGTCTCTGTCCAGGGTGGAGAACGACATCCCGGACAGATTTGTGACAGAATTCCCCGTGTCTATGATACGGTCACCTACAGTAATCAAAGATAAAATATTACACGCACTCCTATTATATCATTATTATTTACTTAAAATTTAAAACTACAGGAAAACACGTATAGTATATTCAACATTCAAAAATGTTTAAATTGTGATAAATTGTATTGCGTGCAATGATGTGTTAATTTTTTTTTCTTTGTTTTCCTACTATTTGTGATTTGATTTCCTATTTTGACTGAATACGTAAGCGGTCATGTCAGTAATTTGAATTGAATTATTTTTTTTTATAAACATAAATCGTTTTTTTTTTCTGAACATTAAAATTGGTTAACTTATAGATATAAAGAATCGATTTTCAAAACAAAATAGTTAAATGAACTGATAAAATATTTTTAAATTACATTAAAATGTTTGTTGTTTTCATCTCTTGAAATTTACTGTATATATATATATATTTTTTTCATTTTGTCAACACGTTATTAATGAGCAATTCTCCAAATTTATGAAATTAACTTTTTTTCCATTGTTGTATTGCTTTTGTAAGTTCTATTAATTTTTTTCAATAAAGGGACGGTATAATGCAAAAAGTAATTGTAGTTGACTGTAATGAATTTCAATTTTCTAAATATTTTTTTATTCAGTAAATATTTTACACCTTATACCTCAATATGAGTAAAACATTCTCGAGAGGGACGTTAAACAATATAAAAGGGGTTGTAACAAAAGTTCACGGATACATTGATTCACGGAAAATATAGATTGTGTACTGTGAAATATAACCTATGAAAATATGTAGAGTTTTCACCTGGGGAGTTTATTTGGTTTCATGGAATAGCGCGCTCACAATAGAATTTGTCCGCGAAGTTTTCTTGCATCCCTCGTACATAGTGGAATTCGACCACTCGAAGTAAGGATCAACTCCTAACCCTGCTCTCTAGAGCGGACGCCCTCACCATTGCGATATTCTAGTTATCTATTTATTGAGATATTGTTTGCGCAATGGCTGAGCTTGTTCAATGATGTTCTGTATATTCAGGGTTTTAAAGATTTACAAAAAAAAAAAAAAAAAAATCGTATTTGTATTTTGATTTTCTTTTGCAATGTATTCCTAATTTAACTCATTACATGTCCTATAAATTGTTTTCTCTCAATTTTAAAATCTATTGGTTCATACAGCATGGACTGGTTTCATTAAATCTCATTTGCAGAACATTGTAAAATATAACATTGTGACAATAAATCTCTCTCTCTCTCTCTCTCTCTCTCTCTCTCTGTTTGTGTTTATTGATTGTCTTTTTTTTCTTTTTTTTTTCTTTTACCTACCCAGTGTCCCGGTGGCTGGTCCTCCAAGAAAAAGTCTGTATTTGTTGATTTCATCAACAACAGAGAACTGGTTGTATAATTCATAGAGCTTTGTCCCATTAGTCAGTGTGATGGAGACGTAGAGGGAGGAGTTCCTTCCCCTGGTAAGTTGATGAATTACGTCATTCCCTTAAATATGTTATCGTCGTGTTATATATTATGAATTTATAAAACAAACTTGTTTATTTTAGAATTGTTTTCATATATTGTAACATAGAATTGTAAATGTATCAAGAAAATCCATTTTAGCAATAACGTAATACATGTTTCAAAATGCAAAGTAAGGAAATCGTTACATATAACATGAATTGAGATAAAGTGTATTTAAAAAATACAAATTAAACAGTTAATAATCAGAAAAAAACACCATCACTGAAAGTAACAAAGATATACATTTACGTAATGGGCACAATGAAAATAGAAAATTATGGTTCCCCGTGGGGAGTCATAAAATTGGTTTTTCCCCAATACCAATTCCATATTATTTTCATGTTTATTAATTACCAATCCAGTAGGAGTCCTTAGGATTTCCAAACCCTGTCTTGTACTCCGCCCATGTTCTGTTGAATCTCACGGATCCGCTCACCCGCTTCTGGATTGCCTAGAGATTTATGAATAAGAGGGTTTTATTCATGAAAGTAAAGATGTTTTTGTTTGTTACGTTTTATTCTGAACAATGTTTCAATACATTATTCTTCAAAATAATCATTCAAAATGTGTCTTTTTCATGTTTTAATATTTGCAATTTTTACCCACCCTTTTTGTTTTAAATAAAAGGCAAACATACAAAACTCTTCTTACATCATTTTTATCCCAACAACTATTCAAAGTAAAATATATGGTTTCAATTTTATTTGATAAAATTATTTTCATGTAAATCAGGCTAGAAAAGATAAATTCAATGTTCATTCAGTGCAATTTTTGTGTGTGTATTTTTTTTTTTAAATTTATTATCAATTTTTATATATTTAATTATTAAAACATAAAAGAAATAGGAGCTAGATTAACGGTTTAGCAAAAGAGAGAGAGAGAGAGAGAGAGAGAGAGAGAGAGTGACAGAGAGAGGGGAGGGTGGAGAACAGAGAGAGAGAGAGAAATCTTACTGTCCACCCTCCCGCCTTCTGTCACCATGTCGCAATACGGGCTGACCTGGGTATTGTTACCAAAGGGATATGTTTCATAAATACCAGATTGTGTTTGTCCGCTTACATATAGGTCCTTACAATCTGAGTTTAGTTTGGATCCTATGCGTAAAGAGAGAATGATAAGACTAAGTTGAGTGAGACTGAGGATATAATTACATTATCAAATTCCTATCATCATATAAATAAACCAGCGTAATGTTAGAAATAATATTTTTCAATTAAAAACTTTAAAATAATAAGAAAACTTAATAATTACCAATATACATACATGTTTGTAGGTTTAGAGATGATATATTTATTTACATTTGCAAATAAATTCCTAACATAAAATAATTTAAACATTTCGTGTCTTTTCACATTTTATAGATATAGGTTTAACAGACAAATAGAAAATCATTTTGGTGTAATAGATGGTCAAGGTAATTCGAAATCGGCGTCATAAATTGTCTTAAAGACCAATGATATACATGGAGAAAGAGAGCAGCATTCAAGCTCAAAAATCTTTTTTAAAAATATAAATCAGGAGCAGAGCAAACACGCATCTCTAAAACATCAGAGGTGGGATCAGGTGCTATGGAGGAGTGAGCATTTCTTGTCGACCCGTCACACCCTTGTCATGATCGCGATATGACGGCAAGATGAGTCAAAACTTAGTGTGTAAATAATAGTGCAAAAACAAGAATTGAAAATGTCAGTCATGCAGCATTTGAATTAATGATAAAATGTGTTTGCTGACAATGTTATTGAATCGATCATAGAACCTGCAAACTGATGACTTCACCAATATGTCGATCATTGTTGTAAATTAATGGAGCATATATTACACAGCAACATCATCAAACACCTTGAAGCAAAATGGAATATTATCGGATTACTCACATGGATTCCGCAAACAAAGATCTTATGAATCCCAGCTCATCATTACACTCTAAGAGCTAGCCGATGGATTGAGTAGTGAGGACCAAATGGACTGTGTCCTTCTTGATTTCTCCAAAGCATTTGATAAGGTGTCCCATCAAAGACTCCTGAGCAAGTACTACTATTATGGTATAAGGGGCAGGACTTTAAAGTGGATCAACAGTTTTCTTAATGGTCGTACTCAGAAGGTCGTCTTAGAAGGGAAATAATCAAGAACATCAAACGTAACATCAGGGGTCCCACTGGGAACAGTGCTTGGCCCACTTCTCTTCCTAATCTACATCAACGATCTTCCAGAAAGAGTAACATCAACAGCCCGTCTTTTTGCCGATGACTGTTTATTTTACAGAAAGATCAGTAAAGAAGAAGACACCAAATATATCCAACAAGACCTTGATAGACTGCAGTCATGGGAAAACGATTGGTTAATGTCGTTCAACCCAGATAAATGTGAAGTGCTGCGTGTGACCAACAAAAGAAAACCGATAATAAGAAACTACACCATCCATGGAAAGAATCTAGCCACAGTAAAATCAGTTAAATATCTAGGCCTCAACATCAGTAGCAATTTATCATGGAATCAACACATTGGAACAATTACAAAGAAAGCAAACAACATCGCTGCTTTTCTGAGACGCAACGTCAGCATATGCCCTAGTACCATCAAGGCGCAGTGTTACACCACCCTAGTAAGACCAGTAGTGGAGTATGCTTCCATCATATGGGACCCAGTAACTCAGAAAAACATCTATGAACTGGAAATGGTACAAAGGCGAGCAGCACGCTTCGTTACTGGGAATTATAGAACAACAAGCAGTGTGACTAGGATGCTCGAAGATCTACAGTGGCCAACACTACAAGAGCGCAGACATAAAGCAAAGGTAATCATGCTTTATCGTATTGTTCACCATCCTATAGCAATACCAACGCAAAACTACCTTGTACCAAAGGGAGCTAACTTAACAACACGGGGCCATAACATCAGCAATAACACTATGGAACAACCTACCATCTACCTCAGTGAGCGCCTCTAGCCTGGAGAGCTTCAAGGAGTGCGATGGAGCAATTAGAATAACTTAGCTCCGACAGTTTTAATTGTAAATATCGCCAGAATGGTTTTTATAAACTGTAAATAGTTCGTTGTTTCCCCAAGGGCAAGCGCAAAAATCACGACAATACACCAGAAGGTGGTTTGTGGTTATAAGGAAGAAGAGAAGAAGAAGAATGAAAATTTTTAAAAAAATGTTCATTCATGTAACATACTCTCGTGAATCACATCATTGAAGAGATATAAACCCCAAACGCAAAATAAAGGGGTAATAATAAAGTTCAGGGTACTTGTGTGTACAATCAAAACTTTTTAAATCAAAAATAAGTTAAACCTAATTAGTGCATAAAGACAAGCTAGGTACATTTAAGATCTTCATTTGCATTGAAAAAAAAAGATTAGCTGTCAATGATGTCAAAAAGCCAAATTAATGTATAGCTGAAACACCGTTAGTGTTTATTCTTTTGACTTTGTAAAAAAAAAAGTGTTTTTAATTTCCCTAAAAAGTTCAAAACTGAATATACCCATTCCATTATAATACGGAAAAAAGCAATTTTTAAAAATAATTTTTGTTCGTTCTGAAGATCAAGATCTAACCATATGCAACTTGAGTGAG